AAGCAAACCTTTGATGTATGTGTGCCTTCCCATTTAACTTTCTTCTAAGCTATTTTGTTTTTCTTTTGTAAGTTATCCAGTAGAATCTAGTAAGAGCACGGTCATTCAGAAGCAAGAGCCTTAGTTTAGCGATCCGCAAGCTCTGTGACAAAGAGATGTCAAAGATACAAGGACTTTTCCAACCCTTTTGCCAAGAGCACTACAAGAGCGTACATGGCTTCAAGCATCTAGGTCAAACAAATCAACAACAAAGCTAAAATTTGGAATTGCTTGTGGCTTAAGCTCTTTCACATTCATTTTCTTGCACATTTACTGCAAGATGTGGTTTAGCATCTAGTATAGAAAGCAATACACCACATTCTTCACCTAGCTTCTCTGAAGCCCTTAAGGAACTCCTTAGCCAGATGCACAATGATCATTTTCCTGGATTCCGGTGTTAGGCGTACAATGTTAATGTGGTAGATTACCTGAGAGGGGCTTTCAGAGGCAGCTTGTGTTTATTGCATATTAGTTCTCTAATTGATTGTGCAATGCAATCAGTAGCAATCTTGTGAGTCGTTGCCATGGGATTTCTAGTTTGTGTGCTTTGAAATCTAGAAATTGTTAAAAGAAGCACTGCAAGATTTCATGAATAGATATTTGTATTATAGAGAAAGCAATTGAAAAATAGACAAAAGACAATTGTATCTATTTTTGGTTGTTGGCAATTTCCATGGCTGAATTGTTTGGTGTCTCAAAATGGACAATAATATTTGCCTCATTCAATAGAAAGAATCCTGTTGGTTTTGAAGACAGATAAACGGCAATCTTTTCTGGGGACTCTATAGCAAACTTGACCATAGACCCTTCATCCAAATTATAAATTTTATCCACCATTTTATCATGCACTATAACTCTATATTCCATCATATCATTTGATATAATAGAACCAGTTATTGTAGCTGATTTACGAGGGATGGAACACCTTTTACACTTTGCACAAACAACAAAACTATCTTCTCTCTGCTCTAACATTGTGAAAGAGCAAAATGAGCAAAAACTTTCAGCTTGAGTGAGGCTCTGTTGGTTGTCAGGGATGAAATATCCACTAATCTGTATAATTGGAAGTTAGAGTTGAAAGTAGATGTAAACAATTTACATTACCTTGTCTTTAGAAGTGAGACCACGGTGTGTTTTATAAACTTCATTGAGCCTCTGAATTTCGTTTGAATCAACTAGTGGCAAAAATAAAGTACTTCCAAGTGTTGCTAAATCACCTGATACACTCATGCTTTTCATAATATTAAAAAATAAAAACTTTGGCATATATCCAACATACAAATCTGCTACAATATGATGATATTGCTCTTCATGCTCCAGGTGCATATAGAGCTATGAAAATATCTTAGAAATAGAAAATTAAATAGGAAAAAACATTACGATAGTAACGTCCAAAGGATTATCAAAAGAAGCAATCTTTTTTTTAGGAAAAACACCAATGTTGATTACAACAGCATGTCTAGCTTGTGGATAAATTCTAGTAGCCATTAAAGATGATATAGAAGCTCCTCTAGTTGGTTGTAATCTTAATTTAACATCAAAATCATCTATAATTTGAATGATAGAAGAATCTGTAATATAAAGAACTTTTTCTGAAGTTCCATGGTGGTAAACTGGGTTTTTCTGTCGTTCAACCCATCTGCAGTGAGAGAATTATAATCTTGTTAATTTTTTTAAAAAAAATTACAAACCTTGTAAGTGAGAAACATTTACCAACCATAAATTTATTATATAATCGTGCACACATGGATGAATCGTCATATTAAAGTTTGCAAGCCATGCATATCTGTACAATCCATTATATAAGTTAAGTATTTTGCACTTCGCAAAGTGTTCTTTGCAAGATGAACTTTATAAGTTCCATACCTAGGCAAAAAGCAAATCAAAACTACAGAAAAAAAACGATTTCAAAACCATACGTAGATAAAACCTTCAGCTCAAGAATTTTGGTTGAATTTGCTTTTTCAAAGACAAGTGATGCAATAGTGGCTTTTAGGATGGTCAACTTTGTCCTCTTTGCTTGTGAAACTACAAAACCAAAGAGAAATAAATCAAGAAATACTAAGGAATAAAGAGAAAAACTAAACCTTCATAAGAATTTGTTTCTGTAGACAAATCCTCAGTGTGACGACTGAACAATATCCATAGCACAATCCAAATCTGACATATCTATGTGATTGATTAAACAAAATTACCTCTAGTTAATTTATACTAGTAAAAAGATTCAAAAATAAGCTAGACTTCACTTTGAAGAATCGAAAACAAAAAAGAATAAAACTTTGAGCTAAAAATTAAAATCTGTCAACTTGCCAAACTTAGGGTTATGGTAGACAATAAACCAATTCGGCAGGTGACAAATCTTCTGAACCTTTTCAACCTTTTCGTGCACTGACTCTCCTCATTTGTAAACATCCTTGCTAGATACTTCTCATCATCGACCAAGCTGAAGCTAGAAGCAGCCTGACTTTACTCCTCAACTGCTACAATCTCCCTCCATCGGTCACTTTAGAAAAGAGGAATGAATAGGAATAGAAAGATTGTCCTCCACTGATCGTTGTTTTCTACACTGCCCACTCACATAATAGGGAGCCATACAGAGGAAGATCTATGCTCCATCCATAGATGCATTCCAGGTTGATTGATTGATTCTGGGCAATCAATCAGTACTGCCATAGTGGGTTTCTGATCTTGGATTGTGGCTCTCAGCTCAAACCTCCAGGGAGAGCCAATTCTCAATCAATTCACTAGTCCAAATATAATTTTCTTGACGCTTCCCAGGGACAAGAGCAATCCATTGGAGCCAGTGGACAATGCAGTGGCCAGGAATGATGATAGCATCATGATTGATCTCGAGGGGGCACTACTCAAATCCTTGAGCTGGTTTCAATGCTTCATGCTTGTCACAATTGAGGCTAGGAGGCCTCTATGAGCGCTCCTCCTATTTTTCATTCTTCCCTTCATGTGGATCACTGGCTGCTTCGTCCATCCAGTCTTGGCTCCAGATTCTCTGCTTCTGGATTGAGGGCCTTGGCAGTGGAACTTTGAGAGCTCCCTTGCAATTGCCATTATGGACATAGAGCCCAACCAATGCACTTTACATTACACAGTTTCTTTGGCTCATGCTCCAAAAACCATGTATGCTCATGATGATACAAAGTGGTTAGAAAAGTTTATAAATTATAAACATTTTTATAAATTATAAATATAAAATTAATCTAAATGAATAACCACCATTGGATGATAGAATATCCAAGTATATTCTAAGTATATTCATTACCATCCCAGTCCTCCTACAGGTTTGCTTAAGCAAACCAAAAATTCTCCACATATTAAAATCTTATTAGTTTAAATAATATTTAATACTGTATTATATAAACTGTCATATTTCACTTCTATTCATCATGAAGAAATAAGCATTTATATTTTAATTTTTTAATCTCAATACAACCACTTAAAATTATATATAAGTTTTTGTTTCAAATAATATTTATTCTTTATTTTTAAAAATAAATTAAATTTTTTTATATTATTATTTATTCTAATACTAATATTTAAATTATAAATGATGAAATTAGGGAAGAATCAGAAGGAAAAATTCCTCTAAATATTTATCTATCTACACCAAAATCGCTAACTGTTGATTACAGTTTTCTAAAATAAATGAAAAATATAAGTGATCAATATGTTTAAAAGATGTTTTTGTTATGGACCTTTATCACTGGGCTAGCTTCAAAATATGGTTTTGACAAAATTGTAAACACTATAAAATATTTAAATTATAATTCTTTATTGCAAAAGTAATTATTCCAATCTGTGAACTTTTATTTTAAATATATATTTTAAAGATGATAAGCATGTTAAAATATATTAAAACTAGGTTGTATGGTTATTTATTTAAAAACATTTACAGAATAAATTCTCTTTTAAAAGCTTTTAAGAATGAATATTCTTTTCTTTGCTTTGTGTAATATAAAAATGTTTCAATACTTCTTGTTTTTAGATTTATATGAGTTATGGCTAATTAAAATATGACTTTGCATGTACTCAAAATGTTAAATCAAATTACTTGGATCATGTTTTGTTAAAATAAAATTATTTTATTTAAATATGATGTATAAATTAAATAGTAATTATTTTACTGGATTTGAATTTAGTCTTTTTAAAACTTTTAAATAACATTAAACACTACTTAAACATAAACAATTAGAAACAATTAAATAATATAAATCCCCAAAAAACATATTCATTATTGTAGAACTTATAGCACTAGATTCTGGAAAGTTAATGATATCATTATGTTCTTTATTGGCCAAATATTTTGTCTTGATGTATTTGAGATGATTTAGTTGTTTATGCATTTAACCCTTGAAACGATTTAAGTTTTGCAAATAAAAACTTAAACAAGGTTGGGGATCCCAAATCCAACAAGAAGCAAAATTTAATCATAATTTGTCCCCATAAAACTAAACTCTCTCAATTATAAAATATTAACTATTATCCATCTCATGTGGTCGTGGGTAGGAGCCCCACAGACGGTGTGGCTGGAGCTATGACTTTGGGTTATTTATATCTTAAGACTCTGCATCTAAAACTCCAGATCTTGTATCCTAGTCCTTCCAAATCTCCTAGTAGATGTTGAAGGAAAACCACTGTAGATCCAAGTCCATCTGGTTTAGAAGGATTTTAATAACTTACATGCTACGATGTGTTCTTCAGTCATTCTTTCCTCGATTTCCTTATGCACACAAGAAATGAAAGCAAATCAATTGCAAAGGAATCGAGAAAGGCTGTGAAGATCTGCTCAGACCTTGGAAAGAGTGCCAGGCTACCATCTTCCCAAAGTGGATGAATGGACGTCTTAGTTGAGCGCGGCCCTCTCCAAATCTACAAAAACGTAAGATGGACCAAACATTTAGAAGGAAGTTCTGTCAAAAAAACCCAAGTTGTTTGATTGTACTCAATACGAAAAGAGAGTTAGAAACTTGATTTGCAAAAGTCTTTGGCTGCGATTACAAAAATTGGTTGTTTACTTCCTGTTTGCAGGGGGCTTGAGCTTGTAAATGCGAACAATCCAATTTGACGTTGTAAATGCTTCATCCAGGTACTCCAGCTCGAAATCCTTTTTGCCAATTACAGTTCCCCGAGCACGATCCCACCTATAAATAAAAAAAAAAACAACGATGCATCAAAAACTGGAAACCGAGAGGCAGCGATGATATCGTACCCCGGAGGCTTGCCATACTCTGTAGATACTTCGCCAAATCTATAGTAGCATAACTTGTACCTGGGGAAACACAGAAACACGATAGAGATTGGAAAACAATCTTAGAAATTGCTTACATCAAACACTCTAGCATCTTTGGAGCCGCGGCTGCATCGATCCGGTATTCTCCATTGTTGAGATAATCGGACTCCTTGATGACGGGAAATACGCCACCTCCAATCCGAACCATCCACAAGAATCTGTCCCAGTTTGAGCTCTCGTCAGCAGTTAAAGAAGAAACAAACCCAGAAGATCAACTGCTTACTTGTTTATGTCGTCCGAGGAATAGCCAGTGACACCACCGAATACTACCAGAACGTAATCCACATCCAAGGACCGCATGATCTCGTAAGCTTCATCCTCGTAGGACGACATTGCTCGTCCTACAGTAGCAATGTGTGTGTTGTTCCACGTATTGTTGTCCACTATAACCGTCCTGTTTCCCATCGCGGTGATCTGATACCCATAATCCCACCAAGACATGACCTTCGCGTCTGGAGGAGTGTTGTGCTGAAGCCAGAAGTAAGCCTCACGGAAGTCATCGAAGATAACTCGGTCTCCGTTGCTTTGCCGGGCAGCGAGAACTATGGAGGGTGAAGAATAAGCCTCGGAAGTCACCCAAGTACAGTGCAAAGCATAGCTCGTCAGGAGATAAAGAGCTCCGGCGAGGACGACAATGCAGGCTTCCCTTTGGAACGGAATCGACTGGTCCGATCCACCCTGTAGAAGCCATACAAGACATTAAACAAAGGCGAGAACAAGTAAGAAAAGAGCAAAAGCTACTTACCTTTGATTTGTCTTTGCCTTGTCTTTCAGGAACTTTACCCACAGGTTTCTCACGTAGAAGACCACATACGTTCTTCAAAGTCGAGGACACCGCGATAGCTCCGATGAGGCATACCGCCGGCGTTGCGACGAGGATCAGCCGAACCATAACCCCGGCAAAGTATAAGCTTGTCAGACCATAGATCATGATAAATATGGTGGCATCCGTCGGTCGTCGGAAGCAGAAGAAAAGCCCCGCCGGGAACAAAAAGAGGAGGAGGTGGTAGTCGAACATAAACGATGACCACGCTGTCGGCTGGTGCTCAGAGACCGAGGCGATAATCGGTATGTGATCCTTGGCATAAGTTGGATCCAGCAACGAGTAAAACCTGCCTGTCCACGGAGAAATATAACCCGTTGCCATTCCCACACCCAGTGCCAGTGCGCCGGCACCTCCGGTGACAATCACAGCGATCTTGAGGAACGCTTGGAAGAGCTTGGGCTCGACCATGCTCTTCACCCAGTTCACTAGATAAAACACCTGCAAGCAAGGAAAGCAAAGGTCTTAGCTCGTTTTCCACAGCAAAGAACGATTTGTAGTACCTGCATGAGGAAAAAAACTCCCATTGCGGCCATGTGTTCCCCGGACTGGACATGCTGAAAGCCGACGAAGCGAATTTGCATCGCCAAGAGCATGCCCAGGACGTACAGCGTGTTGTAAGCGACATAGAGCCGCAACGAGTACCTCCCAGTGACGAGCAAAACCAGCACGTAGATCGGCAGCAAGTTGATGATAAAGATATATCCTCCCCAGGCCGACACCATGTAGAAGTACGCAAACGCCGAGGCCACGGCCCAAGCCAGCGATCCCGTGTTCACAGCCTTGACGAACAGATAGAACGTAAGCAGCAACGCAAAGATGGCCACCCCCTCGTTGTCGTAAGACCCGGCCACCGATCTCGAGATATATCCCGGACAGATTGCTAGAAACGCTGCCGCCACCAATCCAGTCCCTGGATCCTTGAGCTCTTTCCCAAAGAAGTACCCGACCATGGCTGTGTTTGAGGCGAAGAAAGGCGCGGTGAGCACGCAAACGTCCCGGATATGAACGGCGAAACTTAGAAGCCTCAGCGTCCAGTAGAGTAGCGCGGCAGTGACCATGAGCCCCGGATACAAAGTCCCACCGATGATCCTGCCCAGAGGATACCAGCTCTCATAGTCGAACCAGTTCCAAAACTCGTAGAATCCTTTCTGCGTGAGATAGAGTGTGGTCCTGTAGTTGAAGTATGGATCGAATTCGTGGATCACGCTCTCGTAGCGAAGTACGCTGAAGAGCCGCGTCGCGAATGCCAGGACGTAGATGAGTAGCAGCGCGCTGACCCGGATCAGGAGCTCCTGCTGCTTCGTCTTGAGCCGGAATCGACGAGCCTGCGTGATGAGATCGTCGATTGAGCGCTTGGCGCGGCGAAATATCCCCTGATCGTCGTCCGGCGATGCGGAAATCTTGGATGCCTGGCCATTGCCGGCCTTGCTGCTGCTGCGCTCCATCTCCAGAGACAATGCTGTAGATTTTCTGGCGAGACTCTAGAATCCGATACACATCTAGTCGGAGATCTCAAATTCTACCTGCCGGATCGATCTACGCATGCATCGCCACTGCCTCGGATAGATCACAAAACCCCACGCCGCGGAGAAAAACCCTAAGAGGCCGCCATAGCTACCTAGGCCTAGGGTTTGTAAGTCCGCCTAAGCGCGATAAATCGAGTGTACAAAACTAGAGGGATCGCGGGTTCGAGATCTCTCCCCGGGACTCTCAGCTGACAACGTCCAGTAAGTTCCCGGACGAGGCGAGCGGTCTAAAATCGGTGGAGAGATTCGTGTCCGGCAAACGCAATCGAAATGCCATTGTCTCGAGATCAATCTGCTGGAAATTTCTGGCCGAGAGATTCATCCACGAAGATCGAATTGACGAGGACTCGCCAACTTGCCTGGAGGTGATCGCGCCTCGATCGTCGTCGTAGGAGACGAGCAAGAAATCCAAAGCTTCGCATCGACACAACCCCTGGAAGAGGATAAAAAAAAAAAAAACCTTTGAGCGATCTAGAGAAAGAAAGAGAGATCTTGATTACCTTCCACAATCCTTGGAATGGCCTCGATTTCGTTGGAGAGGATTCCACCACCTTGACAAAATGCAATTGCTCCAGCCACCATAGCCTTCCTCGGCTCTCGGCTCGCTCCTTGTCTCTCTTCCACTGCTTCCTGGCCGCTCTATCGCTTCCGGGGCTCGTCACTTTGCTCGTGAGGAAGCGATACATCTCGAAAGGAAAGCTCCCGGGAGGACTCTTGCCATAGCTCCTCGTCGTGATCTCCAAGTTCTCGCTGAATCCAAACGAGGCACTCGCCACCGCCTCGGCCAGGGAGATCTTCATCCTCGCTACTTGCCTCTGGCAATTCAGCTCCTCCAAGACGATGTGATTCTTCCCGGCAAAGTGGACGTCGACGAGAACCAGCCCGAGTCGAGATAAATCCTCCACATCCCACTCGGAGTCCATCCCCGCGAAGAGATCGCCAATCTTTTCGCTGCTGGAAGAGCCATGATCATCCCTGGAGCTACCTGGATGATCCTTCGGTGCGTGACAACTGCAGCAGCCACAATCCCGATCCAGCGCTGGATTCATGACGCAAATCTCCTTCCCATTCGCGGCAGCTCCCAGCCACAGAAATGGAATTCTTCGCACTTGATAGCTTCCCCTGCTCGCTGGAACGATCCGAAACCCATGAATCGAGTTCTTGCGCCACTCAAATCCCAGAATCTGCGACCTATTCCCATTGACACCCCGCCAGAAGCCAATCAAGCTCCCCCATTTCGCCAGGAGCTTGTACAAACCTCTGTAGCGCATAAACCCTAGCTCGCCATCGTCGCCCAGCACGCTCCTGCTCCAATCCCTCAAGCTCGTGAATCCGGCCCAGCGCCGGTGGCAGAGCGCGAGCCAGAGATCCGTATCGTCGCGGCAGAGGCGCTGCAATCGCCGGCACACGGCGGCGCAGCTCGCAATGTCGCGCGGAGAGAGGAAGGAGAAGATCGCGCACAGGACACCGTCGTCTGCCTGGTCGAGGAATCCCTGCATTGGATCCCGCAAAAATGGACGAACCCTAAAATCCTGGAATTCTCATAGAATATCCTTCCGCCGAATATGCCATTATAAAATATGCGAAGTTCCAATGCCAAGAAAAGGTGCTTGATGTTTTTTGGCCTAATTTAGCCCTGTAAACCTAAAGAACTGTTTGCTCATGTGCCATGATTTACCGTGCGAGTAAGAAGTCGGACTCCTTTGGATTCCATTCCAGTAAGGCCAAAGGGCTTTTTGTCAAGAGCCATATACGATCGAGTTTTTCCATAGTGCTTCAAAGTTGCTTGAGTAGTTGTCACAAACACGGGACTGAGAAAATGCCCCTCCAAAGATTCGCGCGCCGTGAATCGCGCCACACCCGGTTTAAAAACAAATTTCCCCTGGCCACATCGCGGCCGTCCACGTGTATGAGTTCTGAAACTCCCTAAACTTGGGCTTCGCTAGATCTCAGAGGGGAGGGGTCGATGAATCGATCATCCATCGACTATTTAATTCTTTTCACTCCCGCAAAGCTCCTCCCAAGCTCCTCATTAGAGCTCTGCGTTTTCCTTCTCTCAAGCGCTCGCTCGCTCTCTCGCTCTCTCTCTCTTTCTCTCTCTGTGGAGTTTTTGTAAGAATCATGTCTTCTTCAAGCTCTCGTTACAAGTGGCGCGGCAGCACTCGCAAGGTCGTCTCCGCTCCAATCGAGCGCCTGTGGGCCGTCGCTTCCGACTACTGCAATCTCCACCAGTGGATCCCAGCCCTCCATGTCTGCCGCTGGATCGCGGGCGATCACCCCCGCGCGCCCGGCAGCGTCCGCTACGTCGAGGGCTCGTCCACCGGATGCGACGGTCGCAAATCGTGGGCCAAGGAGAAGCTCCTGACCATGGACGAATCCAGCCACACCATCTCCTATGCGCTGATAGAGTCCAACCTGGGAATGGAGGACTACGTCGCCACCATGAGAGTTTTGGGAGGGCCGGACGGGCATAACACCGTGGAGTGGTCGTTTGAGCTGAGCCCCATGGAGGGAGCGTCCCAGGAAAAGGTTATCGGCCGCCTCACGAGTGTTCTATTCACCTACATTGGCTATCTCGAGGCTGCCGCGCGATCTTACTAATCAACGTGAGCTCCCAAAATGTTACAAAGATAATATCATGCTGGATATTGATCGATCGATATCCTTGCTACTATAGTATAGAAGGAGCTGGAGTCAATAATTGTCGGGTGGATTTTCCCCTGGATGACCTTTCAAAGTGAGAATTGGAATTTTTGAGAGGGCAATCCAACATACGATAGTGTAACCACGAGTTTCATGCTTCACCACTATGTGTTGTGGGTGCGAACAACACTAACAACATACTGATGTAGTGGACATTCCAGCAGATGTCACCAACATTAATGGGTACTAGAAATAAAGATACACAGCCATATAAAAATTCCAAAGTTGCTTAAACTTTCAGTATACTAAAATTATATTGCACACCTAACTGAGCATGAATAACCTATTATGTGAGAGCCCGTGCAAACAATAACAAGATCAATGAAAGGGACCATATAGGTAAAATAATGCCCTGCTCAAGCACACATCACTTTGTATTATAAATTCAACCACAACCATTACTTTTGACCGCCGATGACTGTCATGGAGCGATTGGTCAACGTAGGTCAGCGCACAAGACACAAGCACTGCCGCACGAATCTTCTAGGATCTCTGTTATGAGCTGGGAGGCGCAGCCAATCACGCAGCTCAGCAGCCCGCCAAGTAGCTTCTTGAGCGATCTGACCAATCCGCATCCTTTCTTCCACGTCTTTTCCTCCAATAAAGCGTAGCTCCATTCCATTGCCCTAGGAAAGATTTAAAAATGGCTGACATAAAACAGATTTAAAAAGGAATATTCGCCAGCTTTAAATATGCCGCTAAAATTTTGATAAAACGTCACTCTGTTTTTAGGGCTCCTTGGCTGTTCTAGGGTTTATCATGGCGGAGAAGAGAGCCGCGGCGTCGTTGGATGAGCTGCGCGCTGCCGTGGAGCGTGATTTCTCGAAGAATGTGGTCGTTTCTCATGGCCTCTTTCGATCGCCGTATCCGTTTGGGGCGCATTTGTTCTGCGAGGTAATTAACTAGAGCTTTGATTGATCGATTGATTGATAGAGCTCGTTTGGTGGTGGAAATCTCAGGTGGATACAGCGACTTTGGATCGGAAAAAATGGTATGCTGTAGAGATTTCGTGACTTTTGTTGCTGAAACCTCTTCGATTTCTGCCAGGGGAGATTCAAAAATGGAACTTGTTTTGCGTGTTATTGCTCTTCCTCCCGGGTAACAGAAGCTATACTTTATAAGCCATGACTAATTTTTTTTCTCTTTTTCGCTCTCAGGGATTCAGCTCCTCTAGCAGCATTCTCCAAATTCCTGAAAGTTCTACACAGAGATGCAACTCTGGAAGACGCGTCCTTCGAAGCTCTCGTATTGGCACTCGAAAAAACCAGGTTTTTCTCAAGTGGTTTGAAGGATCTTAGTAGGAGCAATAGTGCTGTAGAGGAAAGGGAAGGGGATGGAGATTATCAACAGCGATTACTCCATCTCTGTCTTGGCAGTAGTCATCCGTGCATAGCGCCGCTCACAGGTGCGTTCCTGGGGAACGAGACTTTATATCTAGTTTTTCCGCCAGCCCCATATACGCTGCGTTCGCTCTTGCATTTTAGCCCGGGTGCCTTGGGAGATGACTGGCAGCTGCGGTTCTTTCTATATCAGATCATCGCTGGTTTGGCTCATTGCCACAAGCTGGAAGTTTTTCACGGAAACATAAATCCATCCAGCGTGCTCATCACGAGCAGTATGTGGTGCTGGCTTACAGGATTCGCTACGACCTCTATACGTCGTGAAGTATTTAATCCAACAACGGAGACTTCTCTAGTTGAAGACGAGCTCGAGTGGAGAAGCCAGTTTAAGAAGTGGTTCCGGGGAGAGCTTAGCAACTTCGACTATCTTCTACTTCTCAACAGGCTGGCTGGAAGAAGATGGGGGGACAGGTGCTTTCATACGGTCATGCCGTGGGTGATAGACTTCACAGCAAAACCCGACCAAGAGAATGACACTGGCTGGCGTGACTTGACGAAGAGCAAATGGCGCTTAGCCAAAGGGGACGAGCAGCTCGACTTTACGTACGCCACTGCCGAGATTCCACACCACGTCTCGGACGAGTGCCTTTCGGAGCTCGCGGTCTGCATCTACAAAGCTAGAAGGCTTCCGCTGCTGGTACTTCGTCGAGTTGTGCGCTCAGTGTACGAGCCGAACGAGTACCCAGTGAACATGCAAAGGCTGTACCACTGGACGCCGGACGAGTGCATTCCAGAATTTTACAGTGATCCAGAAGTTTTCCGGTCGATACACCATGGTATGGGTGATCTTGCTGTTCCAAGCTGGGCTGAAGATCCCGAGGACTTTATCCGTTTACACCGTTCTGCTTTAGAGAGTGACCGTGTTTCGAGGCAGCTCCACGAGTGGATTGATCTCACTTTTGGTTATAAGTTGTCGGGTGAAGCTGCTGTTCTGGCGAAGAATGTTACGCTTTCAACTACAGCACCGAGCATGCCGAGATCATCAGGACGACGGCAGCTGTTTTCGAAGCCGCATCCTATGCGGATGACTTCCAGCTCCAAGAAAAACCTCTTGGAACAGCTGGAGGAGTCAGCGTCCTTTTGCAGTTCTGGAAGGAGTTTGTCTCCATGGTATGGTGTACCAGTGCCCGATCCGGAAGGACACAATTCTACAAACTCGGATCATCCTCCAGTTGCATCAAACGCCTGCGAGGCGATATTGCGAAACGTCGCAGAGTCCGACGAGAAAGTCTGGAGTGAGCTTTTCCAGAAGCTCCATTTCGAGCAGGACGATGACGTCGACGACGAGAACGTATCTTATCAGAGACTAGTTGCATGGCAACGTGAAGTTTCGGTGTTAAAGCCGATCCGGGAGAGCGAGGCTGCTGACATATTCGGCATCGGATGCTTGGTTGCAGAGATTTTTCTTCAAAAACCGCTCTTTGATTCAACCAGTGCTGCAGTTTGGCTGGAAAGGAAATCACTTCCAGGAACTCTAAATCAGCTTCCACCTCACGTCCGTATTGTCGTGGAAACAACTCTCGCCGCGGACATCAAGAGGTAGATTTCCTTTTTGATTTTTTTGTCAACTCATATAACGGGCATTTGTTTCTTTTCTAGACGGCCAAGCGCTGAGAAGTTGCTAGAGTCACCGTTTTTCCCTCCGGTAGTTCGGTCAGCTTACACATTCCTTTCTTCGTTTCATTTTCTAGCCAGCAACCACGACCGCCTGTTCTATGCAGCGAAAATGGCTCAACAGTCTGCGTTTGCTCTCATGGGACCAGTTGCTTCCGAGCTTTGTGCACCGGCTTGTTTGTCTGTCATCGCCCATCCTTACAATGATCTCGATCCTATGGCAGTAATTATCCTGTTGAAATCTTTGCTTCAAGTTCTCAAGCAACAGGCTTCAAGGCGTCTACTTTTGCCAGTCGTGCAAAGCATTTTGCAAGTAAGTCTGAACTGATGGCATAAATCTATGGTATTTAATTCTTGTATTGTTTTTTGCAGGAAAACGATGCTGATGCTCAGTTGAAAGCTGGATTACTTGGATCTTCATTCATCAGAAACTTGAGACGGCTCCTTGGCACACACGTGTATTTGCAGCACTTCCACTCGCTTATAGTGCTCAGTGTTCTACGTTCGCCCGAAAGCCAGCAAGCGAGTGCAGCATCACTTGTTTTGGTGGACACTTGCCAAGAGTTGGGATTGCCAGTCACACTGAACCAGGTAAAAGGATTAACTGTTGAATTGGTCAGAAACTCATTAACGTAGTTCTTTTGTTTGCTAGACAATTCTGCCACTCTTGCAGTCATTGGGACGTGACATCACTGTGCATGGCGTAGATTCTCTTGTAGAAATCGGTCAGTCAGGCACTTTCTTTTGTTTTACATTCTTCTTAGTTTTGAATTATGCTGTTTCAGGCGAGAAATTTGGACCTGAGGCAATTATCAAGCATTGGCTTCCACCTTTGAAGTACGTTCTCATGCTCAGTATTGAGCCATTAACACATAAGACTGCTCCAACACAAAGCTGGCGTTTATTGGCAGCGGCTGATGCCTTGACCGTGTTAAGTCGTCTCGTATTGCTATTGAATCCAGTTTCCGTATCGAGAGAGTTATTGCAGGTACCTAGGATTTACTCCAAGCTTGCGTTTATCGATTTCTTGTGCAGGAACCTAACAATTTCCTCTACAAAATTTTCCAGCAAAAGAATTTGCCACATCGCTTTCGTCAGGTTGTTCAAACCTTTTGTTTTCTTGGTGTCACTTATTTTTTTTTCCTTTTTGCAGTCCGCAGCAAAAAGTATTTTAGCCGCTTGTAGACGAAGTGGACCAGAGCTTACTTTTCTACACGTCATGCCGCAATTCAAAGAGTTCTTTCATGCCCTTGCGTACAGCAACATTTCCGAGGAACTGGACCTTGCGTATGTTTTTTTCTCTTTTGGTTCTTCCTTACTGACATAACTGATGTCGTTCAGATATTTGTTGTATTCTGAATTGGCATCACTCTTGGGAATTGAGAGAGTTCGTCAGTCTTTCCCGACATGGCTTGTTCTGGAACAAAGCCTTGCAAAGAAATATGATTGGAAGGTATGCAGTTTGAGTTGGCTCCGTCGTAAGTTTATTGTGGGAGTTTTGTTGCAGTGGACAGACACTAGCAGACATTTCACTCATTCTACAGAAGCTTTGCCCGTAGAAGAGTCTTCAAACACTGGAAGCTTTAGTCCTGCCAACCTCCTACTCAATGGTGTAGGATGGTCTATTCCGCAATCCCAGGCTGCAAAGTGGACGGGCTCTTTTACTTCTCGCAACCAAGATCAAGAATTAGTCGTGAAACCAAACGAGGAGCCATGGTTCTGGGTGCCGACTCATGACGAAACTCGTGGTGGTGCCGAGTCAAACAACAAGAGTAGAATTGGAGTGGCGCATGCCGGTACGAAAGACGAGCAGTCATGGAAGCTAAATGGGATCGTCGCACATTCCTGGCGTGCTCATAGTGGCACTGTAAAAGTCTCACGACTTGGAGGCGACGAGACTGTGATTTTTTCGGCTGGTGGTTTACGTGGAAGATCTGTCGTTCGAAAGTGGGACCTCTCATCTGCAGAATGTATCACGGAGTATTCTGGTCACGAAGAGGTAAATAGCAGCTGAAAACTTAGCGATGCTGACTTCTTTGTTTCCAGGCCGTGAACGATATATGTGTCTTTCAAGGATTCGAAAGAGTTGGCTCGTGTGATGGTATGCTTCACATCTGGAATTCCGAAACAGGAAAACGTTTGGCCCTGCTGGATGAAACTTCAATCTCCGGTTCTTTGAGACAGAGTGAAGTTGCTGATATGAGCTTGACGAATGGGACACTATCCGCTGGAAATGCTTACACCTTCATGCATTTCATGGAGGCAGAGACGAAGCTTGCGATTGGAACGACTAATGGCCATCTCAGGTGAGCTTGAAAATTTTGACGAGCTTCGGACGTCGTTTCTTGTTTTCCCGATTTGCAGGTTTGTAGATCCTGTTACAAGTCGCCAGCTGTTTTCCTGGCGCTGTGAAACTTCATCAGAAACCTCAGTTTCTTCGTTCGTCTCGTCGGTGACATCTTCGTCTCGAGAAGCCCCTGAAGAGAAATCGAAGTCTTTCTCTTCTTGGATAGGCGTCGGTTTCAATTCTGGACATTGCAGTATTCTTGATGCCAGAAGTGGAAGTGTGATTGGAAGCTGGCGAGCTCATGGAGCTGAAATCACAAACGTAAGTAACGTACTTTCTTCTTTCGTATCTTTCTCATGGAGTTTTCATTCTAGCTTGCGCCCCTGGAGGAGTATTATCTCGTTTCTAGCTCCTTGGACAAAACACTATCAGTATGGGATCTCCGGAAGTGAGTTCTTTGTGCTTTCTTTTATTGCTGTGAGTTACTCGAGTTTCCGTGCTTCGTGTTTCCAGAAGCTGGCCCCTTCAGCTACAGACGTTTCAAGGCCACAGAGACGCAGTGGCGAGCTTCGCTTTGTGGGGAGGCAACATACTCTCAGCTGCTGGAAACAAGATTGGAGTTTCCTCGTTTTCGAAACTGGTAAAGGTTTTTGTATTCGACTGGTTTTTTTTTCAAGCTATGTTCTCTTTCAGGGTCATTCCAGTCAAAAAGTAACGCCTAGAAAAGTCTATCTTCCGAATCGCAGTGGCAGAAATCTGTCAACGATTCACACCATCAGCGTGCTGCCATTTTCACGCCAGTTTATCATCGGCACCGAGGATGGTCACTTGAAGATCTGTGTTTAAAGAGAACGCTATCTTCGACTTTGGTGTAAGTATTTTTCCATTCTGTAAGTTGGAAGCTCTCATCTTCTTTGTAAGTTTTGGAAACAATCGTTTCTAGGACGAGGAGAAAGAGGTATGTTTGCTTTGAGAATTCCAATCGAAAGAGCTAACAAACACATTCTTTGTTCTTGACCAGAGTAGCGAAATGGCGGCTCTAAGTCCGTCCTCTTAGGGTTTATGGATTATCTGTCTGGAGGAGGATTGGCGACGGCGAGGATCTCTGATCTAGCGATGTCGCCTCCACAAAATGGGACGATGCTCTGCGCGCCGCTCGTCGCCGAGTCCGTGGAAGAAATGCTGCATCAGATCAAGGCTGCGAAGGCATCCGGGGCCGATGTGGTGGAATTGCGAGTGGATTACATCAACAGCTTCCAGCCAGGGGTGGATTTGCCGCGATTGATCGAGGGCAGGGTCTTGCCGGTGATTATCACCTATAGGTGAGAGAATTTATATTTTCCTGTGGAAATCACGAATGCTCTCAGATCTACAGGCCGAATTGGGAAGGAGGTTTGTACGAAGGCGACGAGGCTGCGCGAGTGGCTGCATTGAGCCTCGCAATCGAGCTACAAGCCGATTTCATCGACGTCGAGCTCCAGGTGATTTTAAGCTTCTAACGTAGAAGAGAGTTGTTTGTTCTTCTCTTTTGTAACAACGTAGAATGTTTCTAAGATAGTTTTTTGTTCTTCCAGGTGGCCGAGGATTTCATAGCCAGCCAAAGTTCCAAGCGGAGCTCGTCCAGCACCAGAATTATAGTCTCCAACCACAACTATCACACCACTCCTTCCTCCGAGGAGATTGGACGTCTTGTCGCAAGGATGCAAGCCACTGGTGCCGATATAATCAAGTTTGTCACTACTGCAAACAACGTGGTCGATTCCGCGAATGTGTTTCGGGTGCTGGCTCATACGCAGGTAAGTCTTCAAAGTTCCAGCGAAAGAAATCCTGCTTGTTAAGCTAGCTTTCTTTGAAGGTCCCAACGATTGCGCTCGTTATGGGACAGAAGGGTCTCATAAGCAGGTTGCTGTCACCAAAGTTTGGAGGCTTTTTGACATTCGGTACGCTTTCTTCTGGCAAAGAATCGGCTCCTGGCCAGCCAACGCTGACTGATCTCGTTCGAACATATCGGCTGCGTGAGATGGACTGTGATACTCGTGTCTATGGAATCATAGGCAACCCCGTTGGTCACAGCAAAGGTCCATATCTTCACAATCCAGCTTTTGAAGCGATCGGATACAATGCTGTTTATCTTCCATTTTTGGTGGACAACCTTGCTGAATTTTTGTCGGTGTACTCCGCGCCAGATTTCGGTGGCTTCAGGTACTTGACATTCCCGGACCATCTATTTTTCTTCTCATCTTTTTGTTTCTAGTGTTACGATCCCATTCAAGGAAGATGCTTTGAAATGCTGTGATGAGGTTGAATCTTCCGCAAAGGTTCGAAACTCAGTCTTCGTGTTTTTTTATATTGATTTGAAAGCATGCAGGCCATTGGAGCAGTCAACACAATCATTAGAAGGGCAGATGGAAAATTTGTTGGCTACAACACAGACTGTGAAGCTGCCATTTCTGCTATAGAAGACGGTGTTCGAGGTATTGTTGAATTTTGAGTTTGATGGCGCGGTTCTGATTGTCTTCTCCTGCCTTGTTGATTGGAAAGGGAAGAAAGTGGATACCACGGTAGCCAGCCGCTTTCTGGCAAGCTTTGCGTAGTTATCGGAGCCGGGGGTGCTGGGAAGGCTCTTGCTTTTGGAGCGAAGCACAGAGGGGCCAGAGTTGTGATTGCGAATCGGAATTTTGGTACTTTATTAATTTCGTCGTGGAACTCCTGCTTGCTGACTTCGTTTTTGTCTGTGCATGATAAGAGAGGGCAAAGGTGCTTGCTGAATCAGTTGGAGCAGAAGCCATTTCATTGGAAACATTGAGCAGTTTTCAGCCGGAAACTGGCATGATACTAGCGAATTCGACCTCGGTTGGTATGCAGCCAAACGTTCAAGACACTCCGATACCAAAGGCATGGCCAGACTAGATTCTTTCATCGCGTGCTTACCTCTCTTCTCCTGATCAGGCCGCTCTCAAAGGATATAGTGTGGTTTTTGATGCGGTTTACACGCCTCTTGAGACCAGGCTGCTGCGAGAAGCTAAAGAATCCGGTGCAGTCGTCGTAAGCGGCTTGGAAATGTTTATACGACAAGCAATTGGGCAGTTTGAACTTTTTACCGGCCAGCCAGGTAGTTTTCTTCTTTCCAGTTTGTTTCGTACTTGAGTTGATCCACTGAATCATGTTGTGCAGCTCCAAAGTCAGTGATGAGAGAGATTGTCGCCAAGATGGCACCTTAAATCGAGAAAGGTTTTTTGGTATAATTTGATGAGAGATTGCTCGTCCGCCAGGTACTTGAACGTCTTGAAAATCGAAACAGATCACTCGTTTTTTTATTTCCTGTGAGGAAAATTTCATTACAAAAACTCACAGCGGCAGCCTATATATCTTTCTTACATATACATACTATCACTCAGGATCGGAAGAACTGTCCCGCTTCCTCTTGCGGCTAAGAATCTCGGCAGTCTCAAGCTGTACTTGCATCCGTTTCAGCTCCAGCTCCTTCAGCATTTCCATCTTGGCAATCTCGATTCTGGCGTACACTTCCGTGAACCCGTTTATGCTGCTGGCTAAGTTCCCCGCCGAGCTCCTCATGCTTCCTGCTAGCTCCAGAATACTTCTCGAGAGGTGGTCAGTGCTTATTCCTCCGTCCAAGCTGTTACCAGTGGCTTGCTGTTCTCTAGCAGCTGCTGCCGCCGCCGCCGCCGCCGCTGCTGCTACTTGAGGAAATGTTACCGCTGGTGGTGGTGGTGGTGGTGCCGCTCCTGGAGAGTTATGCCAAGCAGGAATGGCTGCCGGGATGTGAAAGTTTGGGTGAGCAGTGGATGAATCCATCCTGGCATACGGGGCAGTCGGTATTTCAGGCTTGAAACCGGGTCCATCAACTTTGCTAAAGCTTAAACTCGGTGGTGGTGGTGGCGGAGCTGCTGGTGCTGGTATTCCTCCTCCTCCTGGCGATGGTGCTACTACGACCACTGGCTTTACTGGCGGGTAAGTACCTTCCTTGTTTTTCTCGCTCTGGCTCTGGACTGACGCGTCTTCGCTGTTGCTCAGGACTACTTTCTTCCCTCTCTTGTTTCTAATCCTCTCCTTTCCAGGAGGAATAACTCCCACAAAAGCTTTGCTGATGTTGCTGTTACTTGCCGAGGCAGCAGCGGCGGCAGCGGCCGCAGCAGCAGCAGCAGCAGCGGCGGCAGCAGTGACAGATTTTCCCGGAGAGCAGCCCCGTATGATCTCCATCTTGTCATACCACGGCCAGGAGCTCTCGGCTCCGGACAGCTTGTTCTTCTTCTCCGACTTGTAGCGCTTGGTAAGCGTGTCCATTTTGTTCCGGCAATGCTCCACCGTCTTAGCCGACTTTTGGTTGCTGTTGACTGTGTCCACGACCTCGGCCCAGTCCTTGCTCCGCAGCCCCTTGCCGTTCAATTGGCCATACTTGGCAGTGTAAGCATCTATGAGCGTCGATATGGCCGCCTCGCTCCACTCCTCCCTGTCCTTTCTAACACTCGGCTCATCGTTTTCCTTGCAGTTGCTCACCTTGGTGGTGGCTGCCAGTGATGGGCTTCTTCCCGGGGCTGCTAGCGATGGTGGTGGAAGTGGCGGTGATGAGATCGCCATCGTCGTCGTCGTCGTCGTCGTCGCTGCTGGGTCGATCTCTCTGGTGGTCGCTGGAAGATCAGGCTGCTGCTCCATGCTCGGCGAATTGGGGTATGGATCCAGTGCTCTCACGAAAACTCCGACCTTGACGGATTGCTCGTCGCTGCTACAGGGAGAATCTTCACTGCGATCATGGGAAGCAGTCAGTGATGCTACAGCGGTGCTCTCGAGTGACGGAAGGGATGGGTTTTAATCAGACCATGGAGACGACGCATCGCATCGGTGCGCGATGGAGGAGCGATGGAGGAGAAAGAGAGAAAAAAAAAAGAGTTTTTTTCTCTCTTTGGGAGGAAGTGGGATGGGAGAGGTGTGGTGTGGTGTTTGCACACATTTGATTCTCGGTGGTAGAGTAGCCACTCCATCGAGGGGGCGATCGTGGCCGTTGGATGTCCCCATCCGACGGCAATGCCGGTGTCTTTGTGCTGTCGTTTTCGAATGGACGGGCGGAGACCGGAAGGAGCCGTCGCCCGTCGGCCGGCGGAGACTCACAAGCGTGGCGCCCACCCCAGCCGCCGGTCGCGCCACCGACTATATCCCTAACGAAAATATTCGCGTGTATATTCCTCTCCCGGAAAAAATATTTTGCTCCAAACCTAAGTCTGCGCTTAGAGGACGACCGCTGCGCCGCGCCGACGCGCAGCCCAGCGCCGCGATGATCATCGCCAGGTATCGTCTAGCTCGAGCGCCTTGGATCTCCAGGCGCCACTGCCTCCCGCTGCTTGCATTCTCCTAGGGTAGAGTCTCTCGAGCTATGGCGCCGTCCGGCAAGGCCCGCCATCGCTCGCACCGCCACAGAAGGGACGCGGAAGAGGAGCTGGAAGAGGAGCAGGAGGGAGAGGAAGACGACTCTGTGGGCTCGGGTACTGTAGCGAGAAGGAAATCTAGTAGCAGCAAGCGCAGGGACAGTGGCGAGAAGGAGAAAGAGAGGGACGAGGCCAAGCGTGGCCACAGTTCTCACAAGAGGAAGCATAGCTCTGATGTCGCTGCTGCTCAACACTCGAGCCATTCTACCAAGAAGACGAGGTCTGGTGAGAATGAAGGGGTTGTGGTAAGTGCTCCTGAGAAAGTTCTGGTGTCCTGCGAGAAAAAGGACCGTAAGTCTGATCATGGTCGAAGTAGCGATTCTGGGCCTCGGCACAAAAAGTCCAAGGAGAAAAAGCATAGCGTGGCTGACAGAGATGGAGACAGGAATTTCACGGACTTGGAGAGTGATAGATACTGTTACAACGCCGAGGACGAAGAACGCCATTACTCTCGAGATCATAGGGACGAACCGGAGAGAGACAGAGAACGCGATGGTGACGACCGGAAAGACAGAGATAGAGGTGCAAAGCATCGAGAACACAAGGATGAGCGGTCTAAGAGAAGCCACAGTGACGTTAAACACACAGACCCGGACCAAAGCAAAGACAGTCGAAAGAAGTCCAGGGACAATGAAGATCAAACGAGGCCATCCAAGGAAGAGGATGGCCATCACAAGGAATCCAAACACAGAAGTCGTGACGATGATCAAGAACGTAGAAGCAACAGGGAGCGAAACCACGAGGTCAAGTCCAGCAAGGATGAGAGGTCTCACCGAGCGCACGAAGAAGAACGAAGAGTAAACGGTGGAGAGCGACATGAAGAGAAGCAGGACAAAGATAAGTTGAAGCCGAGGAGCGATGGCGAGAGAGAACGCAAGGACAGGGATGGCGAGAGAGAACGCAAGGATAGGGATGGCGAGAGAGAACGCAAGGACAGGAATGGCGAGAGAGAACGCAAGGACAGGGATGGCGAGAGAGAACGCAAGGACAGGGATGGCGAGAGAGAACGCAAGGACAGGGATGGCGAGAGAGAACGCAAGGACACTCAGAGTGAACGCAGCAGAGTATCGTCAAGAGAAGAGAGCAGGACCAAGGATAGCGAACGGAGGTCGCCAGGAGATGATTATAGTTCGCGAAAGGACAAGCGTAAGCATGAGTCAGATTATAGAGAACGAAGCCGCAGCAGAGATCGTTCTAATGAAGACGACTATAGGAGGCGGCAAAGATACTACAAGTATGAGCGCGACGAGCGTTCTCATCATTACAGGGATTACAGAGACGAGGACTACAAGCGTTCCTCAGATGAGAGGTCTCGCAGGGGGCCTTCGTCCTCGGGTCGTCCTGACGATTATTCAAGGCGAGGTGGTTCCTATCGAAGAAGAGATGGCGCGGAGGAGCCTTGGAACTGGAAAAACGGTTTTTTTCCGCCGTTTGCACCCCATTATGGTGTCGGCGGATTTTTGGAGCATTTTCCAGCTTCGATCTATGGCTCGAGAGGATCGATCTATTGTCATCCTAGTAGATTCATGCGAGATCCGGCAAGTTTCGTTGGAGAAGATGGATATTCACACCCCTGGTACAATGCTGCTACTATGGAGCACTTTCGAGAACCCAAGGATCAAGCTCCTCTGGACGAGCACGCTTTGCAGGCATCTCCGGAAAACAAGTATGAAGAGCCAACTGGTGGCAAGAACTTTTCCTTGAAAGACGCAAGATTCACCGAAGATATGAGGCAACTTATGTCCAGACTGAGCGTCTCGAAGGAGCTCGCGGGGCCTGAAGCTTACGAGGAGTACTTGAAGTTTATGACGGACGAGAAAATTGAAGCTCCAGATGTGGAGCTAGAAGCTGATGAACCTGCTATGGCCTCAGACTTGGACGATGATTTTGTTTTAGAGGTAAGAGTGCGGTTTATTGACACTAAATTGTTCTTTTTGTTAAAGCTTTTGATGTTTTCAGGCTGATCCCGAAGGAGAGGATTTGCTCCGAGAAGTTGATGGCCATGGTTTATCCGAGCCTCCTTTTCTCTCAAGTCCGTTTGAGGTATGGTACGCTCTACCAGGATATCTGCCCTTTCAAACTGATGGAGCCAACCATTTCAGGACGCTCTCAAGCTTTACAGGAAACCCGAAGAGGAAAATCGATTGCGGAAGTCCCTGGTGGGATCGTTTTTACTTCCGCTCGAATGTGTTTCTCTATTACAATCCGAAGAAGAGGCCCATCCAAGCCACGATTTTTCAGAAACCGCGAAGCGAGAGGAAAGTGGTGTAGAATATGGCACAGGAGACGACCCGAGTGTGGTAGACGGTAGACACACTCGAGGAGAGACTGCCGCATCACAAGAAGCTGGTGAAGCGTTAAAGGTGGTGACAGATATTAATGGTGGTGGGGATTTTTCTTGGGAGAAGAAGACAAACGATATAGTTATAGGCCTAGAGGTAGCGGACGACAGGAAGAACGTAACTAACATAGAGGAAAGAGGAAGGGACAATCCAGGCTCAGACGATCGTCATCTCGACTATAACGTCATAACGAGCAGTGGCAGCGACGGAGATGAAGATGGAGTACAGGGCGACGTGGGGGAAGATGCCGAGACTTTACAGAAAGTTTCCGAAGCGCACGAGGAGGAGAACTTGCGTCGACAAATCGAACAAGAAGCTACAGGCGTGGTCTCTGAGGTGGAAGAAACTTTAGCAAAAGCCGAGGATGACTGGACAGAAGGAAAAGATATGACGCCACTGGAAGCCGTGGAGCAATTGGAAGGTAGAACCAATTCTTGCCAACTCGACGGAGTTCTGGAGTCTCTGGAACACAGGAAATGTGAAGTCGAAGCGACAGAAGTGATCGCGAGGCTAGAACTAGAAGCTAGAGACCAGGCTTTGGAGCCTGTGGAAGACTTGGAAGCTAAAGAGTCGACTGTGGAGCCTCGCGAGAACAGGATAGAACTGGAAGCTGGCGACGAGGCTTTGGAAGCGAAAGAGTCGACCGTGGAGCCTCGCGAGAACAGGATAGAACTGGAAGCTAGAGACGAAGCTGTGGAAGACTTGGAAGCGAAAGAGTCAACGGTGGAGCCTCGCGAGAACAGGATAGAACTGGCCGAGGCTTTGGAACCTGTGGTAGACTTGGAAGCGAAAGAGTCGCCGATGGAGCCTCGCGAGAAACTGGAAGCTAGAGACGAGGCTTTGGAACTTGTGGAAGACTTGGAAGCGAAAGTGTCGACGGTGGAGCCTCGCGAGAACAGGATACAACTGAAAGCTAGAGACGAACAATCCGGTGTTAAAGAAGTCACCGCTCACGAGCACAGGGATGAAGCGGAAGACAGCGGCAAAACTCTGCTAGAGGCCGAGGATATCTCCAGAGAAGATCTGGAGACGCGTGAAGCATCCGGAGATGCGGGAGAGAATCCCGAGACGCCGAAAGGTATGTCTAGTCCTCCTCAGGATGAGCGTAAGCATCTTGGGGACTGAGCCGAGCTCTTCCGCTTCTCTCTTTTTCTTTCTTTTTTCTTCTCGTCTCCTTCATTGAGATGGATTTTTTTTTCTTTCTCTCATCTGATGGTTCGTTCCATGGTGTTTTTTCTCCAGCTTCTCCAATTCCTGGAAGGCTAAAAGTGAGGCTACCACTGCCAGTAAAAGAGAGTTCCTCTGTTTCTCCTGGGCTCTCTTCCTGGCCGTTGGATCGAGCAAATTTTAAGTGTTTTAAAGGGTTAAAGATTTTAAAGGAAGGGCTAAAAGTAGGGCTAGTTTTTAGCTCTGGGTTTAGGGTTAGGGTTCTAGCCCGCGCCCATGGAGCGCAAGCAGTGCCTCTACGAGGTGCTGGGCGTGGAGCGCAGCGCGAGCGCCGAGGAGATCCGGTCAGCGTACCGCCGCGAGGCGCTGCGATGGCACCCGGACAAGATCCAGCAGAGCGGGATTTCAGCTGGCGAGGCGACGGAGCGATTCCAGGCGATTTCCAGCGCGTGGGAGGTTCTCGGCGATCCGCTGGAGCGCAAATGGTACGATTCTCACAGGTCGGAGATCCTGTCTAGCGGCGATGAGCTCTCCGAGTTTGAATTCAACCTCTGGTCGTATTTCTCGCCCTCGGCCTTCTCCGGCTATGGCGACTCCCGGAATGGATTCTATGCGGTCTACAGCGAAGTGTTTGGGAAGATTTCCGTCCAGGAGCAGGTGTTTGATCGCAAGTTTGGATCCGGCAGTGTGAGGGAAGCTCCTCCTTTTGGTGGACCGACTAGCAGCCATAGCGAAGTCTCGGCCTTCTATAGTTTTTGGTCGGGGTTTAAGACGGTGAAGGACTACGCTTGGTGCGACGAGTATGACGTCTCCGAGGCTCCAAACAGGAAAGTTAGAAGGTTGATGGAGGAGGAGAACAGGAAGATCCGGAAGAGGGAGCAGCGGGAGTTTAACGATGCGGTGAGGCAGCTGGCTGCGTTTGTGAAGAAGAGGGACAAGAGGGTGATGGAGTGGAAGCTTGAGGCGCTTAGATTGGCGGAGGAGAAGGAGAAGGAGAAGAAGCTCCGGCGCCAGCAGCAAGAGGTGGAGAAGTTGAAGAAAGTGGAGAGCTACGAGGAGCAAGAGTGGTCTAAGGTGGAGGAGGATTACTCCGTGTGGGAGGAGAACCAGAAGGCGGGCCGGGGTGGGGAGCGGCAGGAGTTTTATTGTATCCTGTGCGAGAAGAACTTTAAGTCGGAGAAGCAGTGGCACAACCACGAGAAGTCGAAGAAGCATATCGAGAGGGCGTCGGCTTTGAAGGAGACGCTGCTGGAGGAGGATGAGAAGGTCCGTGCCAAGGCTCAGTCGGTCGATGAAGAAGAGGACCATGACGAGCCCGTGGTTCCAGAACCGAAGGTTGTGGAAGTTATCGAAGCCGAGACGCCACCTCAAAGTCCTGGAGCAGACACGAGCAGCGAGAGCAATGCCGACGATGACGAAGAGTCGAGCATACTCGAGGCGATGCTGAATTCACACCGGAACAGGGGTAACACGGATCGAGCAATGGAGTCTGATGAATCGGACTCGATTGTGGTCGATGAGGTGCCAGTTGAGGACAAGGATGAATGGTCAAAGAGAAAAGCTACGTCGGGAAAAGAAGCCGAGTCCGAGGCTAATGCGGAAGAAGAAGACGTGGCAAATCTCATGGAGGAGCTCAACACCGGAGAAACTCAAGAGGAAGCAAAGTCGACCAAGAAAAAGAACAGGAGAAAGGAGAAAGGAAAGAAACCAGTAGAACAGAAGGAGGTGAGGAAGTCCGGGAAGAGCAAGGCAGCAGCAGCAGTCCCCTCGAGTACCTGCGAAGTTTGTGGCAGAGACTTCGATTCCAGGTATATAGCTTAACTTTTTTTAATCCTTGCTTTTCAAAGTGATGATTTGCTTATTTCTTATTGTTTTGCAGGAATCTGCTGTTCAAGCATGTGGAATCCTCAAAACACTTCGCTCTTAAACAAAAGTAAACATCGCGGGAATGAAGCAGACACGAGCGAAGAAGTAAAAATGAGGAAAGATAGGTACGATTGATGTTCTCCCATGGACGAACTAATTTTGTAGTGAAGGATTGCTTATTTGAATCAATCACCAAGCGAACGACTCTTATACATATCAAGACCGAGGCTTGAACTTAGCTTTCAGCGCTTCAACCGTGGCGTGGTCCAGTCCCCCGAGGGAGGCCGCGATAACTTCGTCTCGAATCCCAGAGCCAAAGACACCGAGGCCAGCGGGGAAGATACCGGGACTCTGGCTGCCGAAGGAAGCCAGCACGGTGGCTCTGCTGGTGCCAGGATTGTATAGGTAGTGAAGCATGCCTTTGGGAACGATCATCACGTCTCCCTGCTGGAGGGTCTGGGCAAACAGGACGTTGCTCGAGTCGACAAACCCAAGTTCCACGACTCCTTCCATGATGAAGGAGAGCTCGGATGCTCGGGGGTGGTAGTGCAGCGGGATCACGGCTCCGACTCCCAGGTCGGCTCTGCCGAAGGAGAGGCCCATGGTGTTCAGAGCTGGGAAATTTGCCGAGGAAAGTAGAGTGGCATTCCAGGTCTGCGGAGGCGGGGCGTTTCCCAGGACTCTGGAGACGAAGTCACTGGGTGAAGGAATCAAGAGGACGATAATCAAACGGGATTGCCATATTCGTTCTGATGAGCTTAACAACGCGGCGAGATTATTCTCGGGATTGCCGGCTCCACATTGCACGTCCAAGCATGCGGAATCCGAGAATGTTTGATCCAAGAAAAGCCCAGCAAGTTCTTGACGGGAGGATTTCAATAGCTATCATATGACTCAAAGGATTCATTTTCATTCTTCCAGCCGTGGGACTTTAAACGGTTGAAGGTCCGGCCAGTGTATCCTCCGAATCCACATCCCTCACAAGAGTCGCTCTCCTGAATGATCATGCTCGCAAAGTGGGCATCTAGACGATCTTGAATGTTGGAGCTCTTTTATGCAAATTTCCCTTGGCTTTTCTGCACCTCCAGAGCACCACATTTTCCGAGGTCTTCACAAACCTGGAACTTCTCCTATGGAATGAGAAAAACAAATCTTCCACAAGAGAATGCGTCAATAATAATCTATCTAGAGAAGTAATTTTCTTTTGCTTTAAACTCTGGAACTGCTATAATCGCATGGCATGGTGATCAAACGATCTTCCAGAATTTGCGCGCGCGATTGAACCAAGAGATGAGCGAGATTGGAGCGCAGAACACCCTTAAGTCATAATGCCAATGCTAGCACCAGCCAACAGGTTCCCATCTCTTAGAGTATCTGTGTTAGTTTTCACAAATGTATCAGCGATTGATGTTATCTAGAAAAAAAGGAGAGAGATAAGTGCTTCCTTATACAGTGACAATATGAACTATAACCTAGGGGATTGTGAACGGCTTTTTATTCTTCTTAGTCAAGCCCCTCTGAAAGTTGGATTTGAAGACCTCATGCTTTTCTCAATAAGTCAATTATTTTTTTTCTGGGCACTCATGAAAAGACTTAAGTGAAAATGCATATAAAGAAAACAATGAAACAGAGTTAGCCTTAACCCTGATGGCTGATAGCGAGAGGAGAGTGGCAAGCAAATTTGAGATCAGAAGTGCGCTAGAGAGTGATCATCAGCTAGGTGCTCTCACCCATCTCAAACGAGTGCATCAGATTCTAAGAAACACACTGGTCGAGAGAGATAAGAAGAAAGTGCAAGTGCATTCTCAACAGAGCCGAAGAGTTGACATAATGCGAACCCAAGACAGATACTGTTATCCTCAAAATCTCGAGTGGCAATTCGATGCCGATGTCAAGCGTTGGACTCACAATCATGGCCTCTTCGACTTTGCAGAACGAATGGTGGGATATCTCATGAATCAAGTGAGCAACGAAAGGGCTCACTTGATGGATCTCACCACTGGCTAGGTTGAACTTGAACATTCGGAGTTGGTAGCAGCTCTATGTCTCCCAGCTGAAGGCGAGCAAGTCTCTACTCCACGCACATGGGCTTTAAATCACGACATCATGAAAGATTTTGGGAGCAACAACTTGGCACTTAGTTTGCAATTCTCCAACATCAAGGATGAGCTCTACAAGATTTTCAAGTTCTTTGTTCTCAACCTAGAGTTCCAGAAGACTGCAACGACAGTGAGCAGATCTGTGGCCTTCATCTACGAGGATCTTCAAGCTGGGAAGAAAGTGGATTTAGCAGGATATGTGATCCTGAAGTTTCACAAGGAAGTTAAGAAGGTGACAGTAGATCTCAATGCAGGGAGATGTGTGAGGACGTTGATACTACCGTATGTCTGAGCCATCATCACACATAGGAGTCGAGCCATGGTGATCTACAATCCACCACCTTTGCCTCTGCAGCACGCAGCCGTAGAAAGTTCAAAGTGCCAAGCTGAAAACAACTTGATGAACAACCAAGAAGAAAAAAGTCCAGTGAAAGGCAACAGCAACTCCACAAAGAAAGACACATGGACAAGGCTGAAGAAACATTAGAACTCCACAGGTTGATAGTGACGACAGTGATGTGCAAGCAGTCCAGCACAAGGTGCCAACACGACAACAACCAACAAGAACCTCCAGCTCCAAAACAAAACAGCAGCAGAGTTTGGCACCTACACAGCCATCAATGAAGAGCTTGCAACCTCCAAGCTCACCACAGCTGGATTTGCCACCATCGCCACTGCACGAACCAACGCCACCTCCATCTCCAACGACAACAATTCCAGTGGACGATCACTTTCAGCCGACACAGGATATTCTTGAAAATCCTGAGACGGTTACTATTCCACCATCCATTGTGCAAGGGCACATTGCTCTTCACGAACCACCTGTGCAGTAGGAGCAGCCTCTTGAGCAACACCAGCCTCAATAGCAGCCTGCCGTGCCACAGCAGTTTGCAAAGTAGTAGCAGCCTCCACTACTGTAGCCCATTGAGCAGCACCAACCTTCGCTGCCATAGCTTGCCGAGCAGCTATCTCCACCACAGCAGCTTGCTGAGGAGCAGCTGTTCTATTGCAGCAACTAGTAGAGCTACATCAGCCTGCTAAGGAGCAGCTAGCTTTGCCACAGCAGCCAACCAAGCTACAGCAGCTTGCAGCAACTGGCACCACCACAGTCTGAGCACATACAAACATTTGTGCTAGACATCAGCACCAACAACATGTAGCTGCTTCATTCAGCAATGCATTACTAGTTTCCTTACAAGCGCATGAGCATCAAGCACCAAGCACGAATCACTATGATAAATATGTCATCAACAACATTTCAATCGAAGCAGAGGAGTAGCTGCAACTGAAAGTGTACCATACCATGCCTACAAACTTTTTGGAGCAGTACCATAACTCTAATATTGTAGTGCACATGCAGGATGGCATGGAGAGCTTCTTTCGCAATGTTTTTGCATGACCACACAAGGGGAAGTTGGCCAGCATGGCTCAAGAACTCAATTAAGTAAAGGGAATCCTTCGCACTATGTAGACTCATGGACTCCCAACACTAAATACCTGCCAAGAATCTTTCGAGTTAGCGTAGCAGTACCAACTTGATAATGCTTGCCTCACCAAAGAAAACATGGAGCTCAAGACCCAGGTTCAAGTGCTTGAGATTGTCATTAAGAACTACACTTGCAACGAGCTCAAGGACTACGAGGAAGAACTAGAGGCTAACAACATAACTGCCACTACCACCATAATAGAAGCTTGAGCCGCAGGAGCTGCTCAACTTTAGTCGTCAGAGAATAAAGGTATATGCATTTTGCATCGTGATTTTTGCAAAGGCATTTCCTAAGTTAGAAATTGAGATTAGGATTTCTCTTGGTCTAAATTCCTAACTTAAGAAGTGCCTTTGCAAAAATTACAATGCAAAATGCATGTACCTCTCTACTCTCTGACGACTAGAGTTGGGTAGCTCTTGTGACTCAAGCTTCCATTATGGTGGTAGTGGCAGTTGTATTGTTAGCCTCTAATTCTTCTTTGTAGTTCTCAAGCTCGTCGTGAGTGTAGTTATTAATGGCAATCTTAAGCACTTGAAGCCAAGCCTTGAACTCTATGTTTTCTTTGGTGAGGCGAGCATTATTGAGTTGGTACTACTACGCTAACTCAAAAGATTCTTAGCAGGTGTTTGGTGTTGGGAGTTCGTGAGTCTGCATAGTGCAAAAGATTCCCTTTACCTGATCGAGTTCTTGAGCCATGCTCACCAACTTCTTTTCATTTGGTCGTGCAAAAATGTTGCAAAAGAAGCTCTCCATGCCGTCCCACATGTGCACCGCCATATTAGAGTTATGGTACTGCTCCAAAAAGTTTGTAGGCATGGTATGGTACACTTTCGATTACAGCTGCTCCTCTACTTCGATTGGAACATTGTTGGTGGCATATTTATCATAGTGATTCATGTTTGGTGTTCATGCGTTTGTGAAGAAATTGGTAATGCATTGCTGAATCAGATGGCTGCATGTCGTCAGTGCTCAGATTGTGGTGGTGCCAATTGTTACTGCAGATTGTGGTGTGGCTCAGCAAGCTGCTGTAGCTTGGGTGGCTGCTGTGGCAAAGGTGGCTGCTCCTCATCTGGCTAATGTAGCTTTGCTGGTTGTTGTAGAAATATTTGCTCCTTGACAAACTGCTGTGATGGAGATGGCTCCTTGGCAAGCTATTGCTGCTCAGCAAGCTGTGGCAGTGAAAGTTGGTGCTGCTCAACAGGCTGCAGTGGTGGAGGCTGTTGCTACTCTGCAAACTGCTATGGCACAGCAAGCTGCTGTTGAGGCTGGTGTTGCTCAGTGGGCTCCTCCTGCTGCACAGGTGGTTTGTGAAGAGTGATGTGCCCTTGCACAACAGATGGTGGAATTGTAACCATCTCAAGATTAGTTTTCCTTTGTAGTTTTCCACCATCGTGCTTGGATTTTGGCCCAGGTCCGAGAGAAAAACTCATCTCTAGCCTTTTTTTGAGCTCTTTCTTCTCGGCCTCGAGCGAGGTTGGCTTCTTCTAGAAATCCTGTTTTTCTTGTCATAGACAAGCAAGCTTGTGATTCCTCTTCTCTGCAATCTCTTGCCTTATCTAGGAGAAAAAACTCTCCTCCATGACAATCAACCCATGGCAATCTCGAAACGATCGACGAAAGACTAGAACATCAGATCACCTAAATGGTGCCATTTTAAGGCACCTAAACCCTAATTTCTCAGGCTGCTTGACTGCTTGATTCTCGACTAGATCTTGTGCACGCAGTACTGGGTGAGCCAAGGGAACAAAGGGTGTGAGTTTTGCTGGATTGTCATCCCATTGCATAAGCTGGGCGCTACGACACAAGGATAATGTCGTGAAGTCGTAAAGAAGGTTTCCAAGATCCACAAGGACAGCTTTAACAGGGAGGGGGAGCTACCATTGATTAAAGATTTGGAACACCGAATCAAGGAGTTCTTTTCTTTTCTTTTTGGAGCAGTGCTTTTGTGTTCTTCCCACTACTTAAGTTGTTTCTTTCTTTCCCCTTTTGAGTAAGTACTAGAATGGCAATATTCTCT